AAAAAAGTTTATTTTTGACAGAGAGAGAGAGAGAGAGAGAGAGAGAAAGGGACAGGCAGAGAGAGAGAATCCCAAGCAGGTTCCATACTATCAGCACAGAGCCCAATGCCAGGCTCAAACTCACAAACCATGAGATCATAACCTGAGCTGAAACCAAGAGTCGGATGCTTGACCGACTGAGATACGCAGGTGCCCCTAGGCAGAATATCACTTTAAGGCAGTGGTTCTCAAGCAGGCACACACTACAATTACCTGGGAAGCTTGAAAAACCTATATACCCCAGCCTAACCCCCCCCCCCAAATTCTGGTTTAAATGGTCTGAGAGGAAGGACCCAGGCACCAGTGGTTTTTAAATCTCCATACATGATTCTAACATGCAGTCAGAGCTGAGAACCACTGCTTTGAGTGAATAATCTTAGTTTCACTGGGTCCTTCAAGAATATTCCCAGAACAGAGCAGCATATCTAGGAGGAAACGAGCCAAGTCTGGTTTCTAACTTCCATATTCTTCAGTATACCTTATGCAGTGGCATACTGGTAAACGTTAAACAACCAGTTCTGTGAAGTCCTGATTTGTAGTGTTGGCCTGTTTCCCTAGTGTATATATTTAAGCCATGGCCACTTCCAATTTATCGATGTGATGTTACTGAATGCAGTGTTGGGAGGGACACACCTGTTTGAGCTGGCTCCATCATGACACTGACCCTAAGGATAGACTCCCACTGAGCCCAGGGAAGCCATTCTCCAGTAGGAAGCTTCCCAGACCCTGTCCCCCCAAATCCTGCCCTTTGTTCACATATATGGAGAGAGGCACCACTCAGTAACCATAGGTATTGCTGATATGGAGTGCCTCCAGGAAGCTTCCTTAATCCCTGAGCCAGATTTAATTTTGCCCTCCTCTGTACTCTGATACACTCTTGGTACCTCTTCTAATGGTACCTTCTTTGGTAAGCCACGTATTAGCACACTTCTTTCTCTCCTACAGCACAGAAAGATTCTTGAGGGCAAGAAGCCATGTTTTTCTTTTCATTTCATGTTTGTATCTCCTATTGGGTTTAGCAAGCTTCTTAGCAAAGGTAAGTTCTTACTAAATGACTGTCAAATGGAAGCCTGGATCTTTTTTTCTCCCTCAATCTTCCTCTTTTTCTCCCATCACAATATTGTCGACCATACCTCTGCTGATTTATCTGTGAAAAGTATAAATACCATCCTGTCTATTTCATAGGGCACTGACCTACTGTAGTGATACACATAGCAGACATCTCTGATTACAGATGCATCTGATCTTATGTAACAAAACTTGGGTGTGGGCAGAACATTTATCAGTCAAACTGCATCTTTAATGCAGGGTATGAGGGTTCCCTACTTGAAGGAATCTCACCTTTATGTTAGTTTCCTGTTGCTTCTGTAACAAATCAACCCAAACTCAGTGGCTTAAACAATACACATCTGTTCTCTTAAAGTTCTGGAGGTCAGAAATCAGACTCGAGGGTCACGGGGTTAAAATCAAGGGTAGACAGGGCTGCATCCCTTCTGGAGGCTCTAGGAGGGAATGGGTTTCCTTGCCTTTTCTAGCTTCTGGAGGCCACCCACATTCCTTGGCTCATGGCCATCTCATCCATCTTCAAGGACAACAAGGTTGGGCTGAGCCCTTCTCACATCACATCACATCACATCATCACATCATCACATCACATCACATCACATCACATCACATCACATCACATCACATCACATCACATCACACCACATCACTCTGACCTTCTCTTCTACCTCCCTCTTCTACTTATAAGGACCCTTGTGATTACACTGGGCCCACCTGGATAATCCAGACTAATCTCCCTCTCTTGAGGTCAGATGATTAATTCCACCTGCAACCCTAATCCCCCCCCCCCAATATAACAAGGCATATTCACAGGTTCTGGGGATTACGGCATGGGCATGTTTGGGAGGGGGCTGTTGTTCTGCCTAGCAGAAACGTTCCAATGCAAAATGGATAATTCTCCCATGGTTTTTTCATATGCATTGTATCTACCTGCTTAAAGGAGGGCATACCTGAACTATCCAACACCTGGTGCTTACCTCATCTACCTATCCATTTGCTGTTTCCCACTCAGCAAAGTGCAACCTTCTCCTAGCCCCTCTCCATTCACCAACGTGATGCCCCGTTTATCCCATAATGTGGTCTCTCACCTCTCCTTTCACCCATGATTTGGACCCTCTGTGTGCTGCATGCCATGTGCATAGCCCCGGTCTTCAGTGTACTCAGGATACAGGGAGCAGGCAATAAGGGTTAGGTATAATAAGACAGGTGCATTGCATATGCAAGAGAGGAACATGTGTAGGCATATGGATGCACACGCTTAGTGATTCTGTATGTTTCACATTCACTCTTTATCATTGCTGTCCCTCCAGCTCAGGCCCTGACCTTATTACTTTGCCCCGGCACTAGTGCCACGATCCCCTCCTCACCTCCCTGGCTTCACACTAGCCTTGCCTTTTTGAAGCTTTTAACCAGCTTGGTCTGCCCACCCCCAATCTCGCCAATCTTTTTTCTCATTATCCTCCTCTCCAGCCAAGCAACTATGCTTATCCACCTGCACATATGGCTTGCTTATTTCCATGCTTGCTCTCTGCCTGTGAACACATCCCACTTCTCTCTGCTAATCCATGCCTATCACTTCAAGATCCAGCTTAAAACACTCTCTTGTGGGAAGCCAGTTCTGGTTAACCCCTTCCTATTCTTTTGTTCTATGTTCCACACCATACTTACCTGCAAAATTTACTTCCTATTAACTTTTCTTCATTGCTGTTTTGCTTTTGAAAAAAATAACAGGTTGAGTACTTACTGTGTATCAGGTAATGTGCTAAGACTTTTTACCTACGTTTTCTCGCTTACTCCTGAACGACAGCCTTTGGAGATAGGCATTCCATGTTGCAGTTGAGGAAATCAGTGTTCAGAGAGGTTAAGACACTTTTTGAAGGCCACACAGCTTGGTAGCTGTAGAGCTGGGATTTGAACCTGGTCTGTCTGATTCCAGAGCTCCACACATGTTCTGATGTTGTGTTATTAAGGCAGGTCATGTGTCTTTGTGAGTCTAGTCTCCCCAGTAAGAGTGTGGTCTCTCCTGGGCAGCATTCAGGCCCAGACCTGTGGCTGGATCGCTCCTGGAAATGAGAATAGTGCTCCTCACTCAGGCAATATCTGGCCCTGCTCAGCCTGGCGCCCCCCAGAGCTTTGGACCCAGAAGTCAGTGGTTCTCAAATCCAGCTATCCTACAGAATCACTTGGGGAACTGAAAAGTAGATAAATCCTGATGCCCAGGCTGCACCCTGATTAATTCAATCACAGTCTCTGGAAACAGGACTCAGGCATTTGCATTTTTAAAAAGCTCTCAAGGAAATTCAATTGTGCAGCCGATGCTGACAATCACTTTTACAACATAGAAGACGACTCATTTGGAAAGCTATTTCTCTCTTTTAAAGTCCTTAAATTTCTCAGGAAGCCACATCTACCCTGCATGTCTTCTGCTCCTTCCTGTCCCTTCCCTATCTGTCCATTTGGCTTTTTACCCAACAACATCGGAGGAGGGCAAGATCATTGGTTGAGGAAGTGGCCACAAGCCAATTAGATATCAGCTCCAGGCAGGTTCCTAAACCAATGGGAATACTAGGAATCACAGGTGGAAAAATTAACATAGTAAAGTTTTCTGGATTTCACAAAGACAAAAATAAGTAATTTGCTCTTTTAGAAACAGCAAACACTCCATCTCTTAATCTGCTAACAACATCTCCCTGTGGGAAATCCTTTAAGAAAGGAAAATTGCACCTCTTCTAATAGCTTCCACCCGCTGGCAGGCAGGCCTGCCGCCCCCCCCCCCCCCCCCCCCCCCCCCCCCCCCCCCCCCCCCCCCCCCCCCCGCAACTGGTTACTGGGTGTTCAACATGAGAGCCATGGAGGGGGTGGCTGACCACAGCGGCCAGACTCTGCACAGGTAACAGTTCCTTGCCAGTCTGAAGGAGCTGATCTATGAGAAAAGTTCTAAGATTCCAGAAGAGCTGGACTTTGGGAGGTAAGATGTGGGTGAGGCTCGGCCTGTTCCCCATCTTCCCAGGCTTCCTTGGGTCTGTCCATATATTCATATACCTCCTCCTCCACGATTGCAAGTGTGTATGCCTATGGCAGGGCTCCCCAACTGGTGTGTGCATATCTCTTCAGCCTCTGGGGAGGCCAGGCAGGGCCCAGAGAGGCCAGAGTCTGTGGGCTGGACTATTTATCCCACTGTTCCACATGAATGTCATTTTCTATGTGTGCTGTGACACAAGAAAGATTGGGAAGCTACAGCCTGGGGGTAGCTCTGAGTTCAATTCCCCTGCCTTCTGCTGAAGACCTCTTGTGGGTTGATCTGACACTTCCCAGCCTTCTCCAGCACTGGCTGACCCTAATGTGTGGTCAAGATAGCATGTCCCACAGGGTTGAGAAACGAAAGAAAGATGAGCCTAAAGGGACCCTGGATCTGAACTACTTCAGAATCACCGGCTCTCACTGAAAAGGCTCAAGTGCTCTTTACTTCTTCCTGTGTTCCTAAGGCCTGTCCCTGGAGAGAAGTAGCTCCTCAAAGCTGGGCTTACCTTGGCATCCATGATGCTGGTCTCCACCCGGGCCACGCCCTGGTTCTCCCGGAACAGCTGGATCTTACTGATCTTGCTGAATTCGGACAGCACAGTGGTGAGGTTGGTTTTGAGGTCGATAACATGGCTGATGCCATGACGGGGTCCCACCAGAAGAGTGGTGGCTGACTGCTTCTCATCCTGGTATCCAAGCATGGAGGGCAGCATTCACCAAAAGGAGGGCAGAGGAGGTGGCCGATGAGGGGGGAGGAAATAGAAAACAGGCATTGAACTGGTTCTGCTGGGATGTCTGGAAACATCTGAGGCTTAGTGCCAGGACAGGAGGACAACCTCAAGGGGAAAATGGTCTGGGATGTTTCTGTCCCCAGGGCAGGGCCCCAGGTCACTGGTCTAAATGGACATCTTAGCCTCCACAATAGGCTGAGTGAGGTGGTCAGTGGCAAGGCTGGCTCTAGCAAAATTGTGAGCTTTGTTTTTAAAGCTCTGCAGCATCTTCTTCCTACCAATCTCCAGGGATTTTCCATTTGCTGCTACAGGTCACTCGCAACCCCCCCACCCCACCCAGTGCTCTACCTGAACAGGTGGCATCCTGTTTTCCTCTTTACCTCCCTACCCAAGAGCCACTTAAACTCGCGCTTCCCACCTAGTGCCAAAAGCAAAACTGCCATTCACTCTAAGGTGTTAAGGAGTTGATTGGGTGCTTAATAGCAGGGTTGGGATGGAGAGTGTGGGGGGCATCTCCTTCCTTAAGAAGCTATTTGCCTTTTAACTGGCACTCCAGCAGTCTTAACCCAAAGGAATGGCGGAATGGCCCCAGTGGCAGAGGGGATGTGCAGGGGTGGGGGGTGTAGAGGGAGGGGGCAGTAGGCTTTCAGGGATCTGCAAATCCAAGTATGTAAATGTATACCTCTGCACCTGGTGGGCTGGATTCCCTTAAGTGGTCCTGACAGGCTGCTGGGCACCATCAAGCCTCGGCCCTCTGCTGGCCCATTCCCTGGAATTAGCATCACCCCAAGGAACCTCTTTACGTCTGCTCTAGACACTTTGATAAGTGGTTTTCCATCAGTGTGCCCCACGAACATGACAGCGTGTTCCCCAGAGCATGACAAGCACCTGGATCCAGTCCGCAAAATGATTTGAATTTCCTTTCACCACAGCTCACTAGGGTGAATTAGCCTGGGGCACAGGTTGGGGGGGGGGTACCAGCTGTGCCCCGCTATAGAGAGGGATGTTACTGCAGTGGGGGCCCTGGGCAGGTAGGGGGAAGTACACAGACTCAGAAAGCCTGGGGTGGGGGGCCACATCAGGCCCACCGCCAGTGTTTGTATGGTCCAGAAACTAAGAATGCGTTTTACATTTTTAAATGGTTGGAAAAAACTCAAAAGAACCATGTTTGGTGCCATGTGAAAATCACATGAAAATCAAATTTCAGTGCCCATAAAGAGATATTGGAATACAGCCATGCTCATTTGTTTATGCACTGTCTATGGCTCTATTTGCACTACAATGGTGGCTAAATAGTTGCGACAGAGACCTGGGTGGCCTGCAAAGCCTAAAATAGGTACTAACTAGCTCTTTATGCAGGAGGTTTGCTGACCCCTGAAACTGAGGAAAGGGGATGCAGAAGGGTCATGGAGGGATATCGTAAGCAAATATGGCCTCCTACTTTACCATTTTACCAGAGGCAGGACCAGAACACCACGGGAAGGGAGAGGGAGAAAGAGGAGGAAGAGGCAGGAAAGTCTTTGGAAGTATTTGCTGACAGAGAATGCCACCCTAAAGCTGTAGTGGAGTCTCTCCTGCCCCCCACCCAAGCCCAAGTGCACACGAGGGGTTCCCTCCCGACAACTGCCCTCACTGACCAGGCCCACAGTGTTGAACAAAACGCCTGTGAAGGTCGGAAGTTCATTCAGAATTCGAAGATACTGGAGCTTTGCCTGAATTGCAGAGCCCTGTGGAAACAACCCATCCAGAAACATAAGAAGCCTGAGTTGCACAGGAAAAGTAAACTTGTGTTCTCAGGAAGGAGAGTCAACATCTTAGGACAGGCACCAGTCAGACTAGTCAGCAAGCCACACTGGGAGTGTGAGGACACCCTCAGAAAAACTGCTGGAAGGTTCCAGTTTGGACAACTCTAGTATCCCGTCTCCCTTTCTAAACCTTTCTCCTACCTCCTGATCCTTGGGCCTTCAAAACCCAGCTTACTCGTTTTGTTCTTGGGATAATCCTAACACCTTTCCCTAACTCTTGACACCCTGCCTCATCTACATCTCTGTCCTGAGATCCCCTATTGCCACCTTGGTACGGGCCATCCCCAGCCAGGGTTCTTTCCTCTGCCATTCCCTCATAGAAAAGTCTCTATCAGTGGTACCAGCTTCCTCCAGGCATTAGAGCCAGAAACTTGTGTCACACTGGGCTCCTCCCTCGTCCTATCACCTCAGGACCACCAGCCATCACCTTGATTGTGCCTCCTAACTTCCTTTCCAGACTATCCATACTCCAATCACTCGACCCCTCCACACTGCTGTTAAGGGCAGAAGCCTAAAACATAAGTGTCATCAGATTAGCTGCCTGCTTAAATCCTTCAGTGGCTCCCTGATGACCCCAAGATGAAGTACAGCCCTTCCCCATGGCACACAAGGTGCTCCAACACACAACTGGCTCCTGCCAGCTTCTCTGGCCTTCTCTCTTGTCCCCCTCCCCAGGCATGTTTCCTTGCACTCTCTGTACTTGCTTATTGCTGAACTATTTGCATTTCTTTCCATGCACAATGTTGTCTTATATCCCTGGGGCTTTGTACAGATGGATCTATCTGCCTGCCTGGGAAAGTCTTCCTCCCCGCTACCTCCCCCTCATCTAGACAAACTCCTGTCTGTCAAGACCCAGCTCTGGCATCAAATGCACCCATTTCTGGCCTTTTCTACCTCCCTAAGGCTGGGCTGGGTGTTCCTCCTCCTCCGTGTTTCCAGGGCCCCCATGCCTGTTGCATCATGTTGTGACTGACTGTCGCAGTGTGCTGTGACTGTCGTGTTTCCCCACTAGCCTGTGCCTGATTTGAGGGCAGAGAGCAGGCAGGCCTTCTTCATCTTTCTGTCTCCAGCCCAAGTAGTGGGGGTCCTCAAAAAAAAAAATGTTTGCTGAGGAGATGGCTGGGAGCACTGATGTTCTCCCTCTGGGAAGAAAAAAACGATTTGATTAAATATGCACAGCAAGGTAGGAATGGCTTAACTCTCTGGGGAAATTTGCATCTTGAAAGAGAAGCTAGTTGGTGATACAAGGAATCCGGAATGGGTAGAATATATGGGGGCGACTGTGTCCTGTGTCTACATCTGTGTGCTGATTCTAGTGCCTTTCACCACCCTCCAGCCTCCTGGGCAGGAAGCACCAGCAGACTGGGAAGGGCCTGGGACCTTCAGGTCTAGAGGGGCAGGGGGTGGGAGTCCCTCAGAGGGCATTTGAGAATGTGTAGGAGAGCAGGGCAGTGACGTGAGCCTCCCATAGGCTGCCCAGTTACCCATTCTCCGGGTCAGGCCTTGCTGTACCAAGCTGTGCTTCTATCTCCCAGAATTCCCTATGGCAGGACTGATGAATTAGAAAGCTAATGAGGAATGGAGCAGTCATTTCCATGGAAAACATGCCTCCCCAGTGTCCAGTGCTGTCCACACAGCAGGTGCTCAATCAGCACTGACTAAATGGGTGGAATGATCCAAGAATTGCCTCCTCCTGCATCCTGGTCCCTTTGCCTTGAGGATCCTGGGCTTTCTCAGTGACTTGCCTCTGAGCTGTCTCTGGAGGTGGCTCAGGTTTGGGAAAAATCCCTCTCCATAATGGGGAGGGTCCCCAGGAGGCCAGGCCTGCTGGGAAACCACACAGGAGACCCCCACATTCACTAGGGCCTGAGGAGGGCACCCAATGGATGACAATGGGTACCTTGGTGCCGCTGGAAGGATGTGTTTGGTGGGCCTTCAGTTGCTGAGAGAGAGATTTCCGGAGGTTCTTCTCTTTGATGCCCTGTAGGAGGGAGGGGGGAAGAAAGGGTTCCAGGCCCCATTCCTTCCTAAAATCAGAAGAAAAGCAAGAAATTAGTGAGAGAGACATAAAGTGGGGCAGAGAAAGCAAGAAAGCAAGGCAGGAATTGGATCTGAGAGTCAGAGGAAGGGAAGGAGCCTGCGAGAAAAAGAGAGATGGGGGCAGGAGAATCACATTGGCCATAGTTCTCTAGCAGAAGCTATAGCTCAAAGGCATCACAGTCTAGGTGTGAGGAATTCCAATTCTCACTCCCACCCCAGGCCCTCTGTTCCAGAAAAGCATAGCACAGCTCAACCATTGCACTTTCTCCCTCTACAGTGATTTGCCGCCTTCCTGAAGGGCCCTGGCAGAACTCACTCCACATTCTTGAGCGAGATCTTCTGACTAGGTCGAGTGGCTGAGACGGTGATATAGATGTGGAGGGCAGCAAGACCCAAAAGCATCTCCGGCTTGGGGTCCATTCCAAAGCGTTCTCGGATAACATCATTCCGACTCTGCAGGAGAGGGCAGTCCAAACCTATCAGTTTAAAAAGATGTTCCCTTCCCCCCCCCCCCCCCCCCCCCCCCCCCCCCACCTCGCCCCTGATCTACTCCCTTGAGTCCCAGAAAAAAATCATGGTGTCAAGTAAGACATCCTAGGTAAAAGGGAGGAGGAGGTTTCTGCCCTTGGGGGAAAGGCAACAGAGGGAACTTAAGTCTCAGGGACACTATTTGCTTCATCCACCAGATACTGGACAGGTTTCTCAATGATAGATACATACAATGGCTAGGCACAAATGGGCAGAACATCTAGGTCACTGCAAAAGTGACACATGGCACCACTCTATTTCCTTCCTCCTGTTATAAGAGGCCTTCCTGCCTTTTCTTGGAGGCCTAAATGCATTCCCCAGTCATACAGGGATCCTCTACTAGCTCAGATGGTAATAAAGAGAGACCCTGGGAAGAGTTCTCCATAGGGCTCTAACCCAAAAGCCCAGGATGAGACATGGATTGCAGGGATGGGACAGATATTCTGCTCCTTGGGGTCTGAAGGTTAAAAGCAAAAATGAGTCACTCTTCCCTATGTTATCCTAAAGGGGGTCCCCTGGAGCTACTTGCCAAGGGTATGACAGCCCTCAAACCCTGAGAATGAGAGTCCTAGCTATTGATTCAGCCTTGGTTAGATCAGTTGCTCATTTTGTTGAGGTTAAACCAGGATGAACTAAGGTACTAGGGAGCCACAGTGGTATCACTACAGCATAGGAGAGAGTGGAAAAGGAATGCTTCATCCATGATCATTTATGTAGAAAATCCAATGGTATCTATAAAATACCTATTAAAACTAACAAGTTAGCAAGGTTGCAGGATATAAGAGCAACATATATAAACCAATTGCATTTCTACATGCTTATGACAAACAATTGGAAATTCAAATTAAAAGTCAAAACCATTTATTTACAGTAGCATCAAAAATATATAATTAGGGATAAATCCGTAAAAATAAGCGAAAGGCCTGTACACTGAAAACTAGAAAATACTGATGAGAAAAATTAAAGAAGACCCAAATAAATATAGAAATATACTGTGTTCATGGGTCAGAAGACCCAGTAAGATGTCAATTCTCCCCAGTCTGATCTATAGATTCAACACGATCTCAATTAAAATCACAGCAGATTTTTGGTAGAAATTGACAAGTTAATTCTAAAATTCAATGCAAAGGACAAAGAATGACCAAAGAGTGTTCTTATTTGAGAACAAAGCTAGAAGATAAACACTACCTGATTTTAAGATTCATAAAGCTACAATAATCAAGAGTGTGATGTCGACATAAATATAGACAAGTAGATCAATAAAGAGTTCTGAAACAGACCCACACGTATATAGACAAGTGCTTTTTGACAAAGGTGCAAAGGTACTACAGTGGAAAAATAACAGTCTTTTTAACAAATGGTCCAGGCACAGCTGGATATATCCATAATACAAAAAAAAAAAAAAAAAGAAAGAAATTTGATCACTAACTTGTACTGCCTAAAAACTTTATGTCAACATGGATCACAGACCTAAATGTAAAAACTAAAATGATAAAACTTCTAGAAAAAAAAATAGGAGAAAATCTCTGTGACCTTGAGATTTTATAGATATGACATCATGAACATGATCCATAAAAGCATTATCTGTCGGAGAACAAATTGAGAAATTGGACTTCATCAAAATACAAACACTTGCTCTGTGAAAGACACTGTTTAGAGACTGAAAAGAGAAGCCACAGATTGGGAGAAATAACATATCCAACAAGCAACTCGTATCCAGGATATATGAGGAAGTCTCATAACTCACTAATAAGAAGACAACTCCAGTAAAAAAGCAGGCAAAAGATTTGGAAAGACACTTCAGTAAAAAAGATGCGTGTTGGCAAACAAGCACACAAAAAGATGTTCAACATCATTAGTCACTGGGAAAGTGCAAGTGAGATACCACTGAGATGCCACTGCATACTATTAAAATGCCTAAAAACTGGGGCACCTGGGTGGCTCAGTCGGTTAAGTGTCCGACTTCAGCTCAGGTCATGATCTCACAGTTTGTGAGTTTGAGCCCCGCGTCGGGCTCTGTGCTGACAGCTCAGAGCCTGGAGCCTGCTTCGGATTCTGTGTCTCCTCCTCTCTCTGCCCCTCCCCTGCTCATGCTCTGTCTCTCAATAATTAATAAACTTAAAAAAATTTTTTTAAATGCCTAAAAACAATACCAACAATACCAAGTGCTGATGAGGATGTGGAGAAACTGGAACTCTCATACATGGCTGGTGGGAATGTAGAAAATGGTACCACCACTTGGGAAAACAGTATTGGAGTTTCTTTTAAAAAAAAATTAAAGAGAGATCTGCTGTACAATCAAACCATTCCATTCTTAGGTATTTGCCCAAGAAAAAAAGGGAGCATGTGCCATACAAAGACTTGTGCATGAATGTTTGTAGAAGCTTTGTTTGTAGTAGCCAAAACCTGGAAACAACCCCAAAGTCCATCAGCAGGTAAACTGAGAAAAACATTTTGGTACATCCATACTGTGGAATACCACTCAACAATGAACAGGAATGGGGTCATGGTACACACAAAAACAAGGATAGGTCTCAAAATCATACTTGGTGAAAGAAGCCAGACCAAAATAAATGTACAGACTGTATGATATCATTTATATAAAACTCTAGAAAATGCAAGCCAATCTATAGTGACAGAAAGCAGGTCAGTGATTGCCTGGGAATGGGGGGTGGTGAATTACACAAAAGCCTGAGCAAACTTTTGGGGGCAACAGATATGTTAAGTACTTTGATTGTGGTGATGGCTTCATAGGTATAAACATATGTCAAAACCTATCAAGTTGTTATTTTAAATATGTGCAGTTTAGGGGAGCCTGGGTGGCTCAGTCGGTTGGGTGTCTGACTTTGGCTCAGGTCATGATCTCACAGCTCGTGAGTTCGAGCCCCACGTCGGGCTCTGTGCTGACAGCTCAGAGCCTGGAGTCTGCTTTGGATTCTGTGTTTCTCCCTCTCTCTCTACCCCTCCTCCGCTCATGCTCTGTCTCTCTCTGTCTCAAAAATAAATAAACATTAAATTTTTTTTTAAAATATGTGCAGTTTGTGTATCAATGAGACCTCCATAAGGCTGTTCAATATAAAAAAGAAGGAATTACAGGTGAAGTCCATATTATCACGAAGGGGAGAGAGAGGGTGGACATGGTCTTGACACTAGATTCCAAAATCATTGGAATTAAAAATGACTCCCAGGAGAAGAAATTTAAGGCCAAAAGAAATGAGAACTAACCTTATAAAATTCATAGAGGAACCACAACTCATTGCCCCCTAGAGCACTGGTTTGGGAGCCCAAGGTTGTTTGAGAAATGTTCCCAACATTTTAGATAGCTAGAAGGGCAACCATGATGTTTCACAGCACATCTTCAGGTGTCGCTATCGCAGACATCATCAGAGATGAGTTTTGAGCCTATTTTTCTCTTCTCCTCAAGCACTCTGTATGTTCCATGAGTACCTAAAACTCAATACATCCCCAAAATGAACTCATCTTTTTCCCAAACCCACTCTACTTGTATTCCTTAACTTGGAGAATGATACCACCTCCACTAGACACTCATTGAATCTAAGACCATTGATTTTCCCTTTTAATTATATCTTGAATCCCACCCCACCCCATCTATCACTGCCCTGGTTCTGGTCCCCATCATCTCTCCTCTGGATAACCGTAACAGCTCCCTAGCTGGTGTACTTCCTCAGCACTATGTAACCTTTCAAATTTGCTCATCTGACTAGGTTACTCTCCCTTCAACATTTCTGTACCCCCACCCTACAGCAGAATTTCTTTACCCTGGCTACACATTCAAATCGCTTGAGGGATTTAGAAAATATTAATTTTTTGATTTGGTCTTGGGTGGAGCAGAACTTTTTTTTTCCCAAACCTTCCCAGATAATTCTAATGTGCAGCTACAGTGAAGACCCACTGCCCTAAAACAGTGGTTCCCAAACTCCAATGGGCATCAGAATCCCTTGGAGAGCCTGTTAAAACACAAGTCTAAATCACTTTGAAGCCTGTGCCTGTCATGACGTGTCAAGCCCTTCACCACCTGCTTCCCGTCTCTCCCATTTCATTTCTTATTGCTCCTTACCTCACATTCTGAACTCCAGGTAAATAAGTTACTCATAGTTGTCTCATCAGAGCATGCTGTTTCATGCCACCAAGACTTTGTAGCTGCAAGTCCCTTTGCCTAGAATGTGCCCCCTCCACTCCATGTCTGTACACAGCAAACTTCTACTCATCCTTCAAGGCTAAGAGTGTGCATGTATTGCTTCCTCTGTGAAGCCTCCACTATCCTCCATCCAAGAAGAGTTGGCAAACTGCCTCCTCTTGGCTGCTCCGACTGACACTGTACCCTGCCATCATTACAGGACTGTCCCACTGTTTTAGATTTACTTGTGCATATGTCTGTCTATGAGATCCAGAGAGCTAGGACAATTTATTGTTTACCTTGATTGGCAGCACCTAGCACAGGGCCTGGTCCAGAGTCAGTGTTCAGCAAATGTTTCGTCAGTGTTCAGCAAATGTTTCTGGATGAACTGAATTCGGAATCATCTCCTTAATGGAGCTAGGCATTGGGGGTTGAGTCACCCTATTACCCAAGTGGGCTCAGTAAACCTTGGGATCCTGTGATATTGACAGAATTCCTTGGGTTGCTTGCTCCTGAAAAACTGATGAGATCTGTCTAGACAGAGAGACAGGACTTGAGCCACAGCCGGCTCCAGTCACCAGGCTAAACAACTTGGCCATGGCCTACGATGGTAGCAGAAAAGGAAAGGGCTTTCAGGGCTACCTGGAGGTTGGAATAACTTACATAGAGACTTCACAGTGATGGCAGAACAGCCTGACTGCTTGCTAGTCCACTGGTCTGTCTGTCTGTTTATCCCCAATCAGACTCTACCTGGATGTACAGGTACTCAAAAGCAGCAGGATCCCGGCGCAACAGTTCCACGGGGTCTTTGGGAAAGAAGCTTATTCGGAAGAGGCATTTCATTCCTTGATAGTGTGTCCGCTGTACGACCTGAACACCAGGATGAGAGGTGGGAGGAAAAGACACCTGGGAATCAGTAGCTGTAGCAAAGAGAGCCAGCAGGGTGACCCCTCAACGTGGGGCTTGGGGTGGAGGTAGGGTGCTACTTATCACGGTCTCCCACCTGGCCCTTTCCAATTATCCTCAGAGGAAAGGTCTTGCCTGCCCTTCTGGTCCAAGGGGACTAGAATTTTTGAATCACTTAACCAGGACATGGCCTTCATCAACAATTGGGTCTAAGGCCCAAGACAAGAGGTGGGAAGAGAGGGCTCCTGGGAACTTCTCTGACTCTTTTCTCACTGTGGGGCCAATGCCTTTACCTTGCAGAGCGGCTCAGCTGCAAGCAGGGTACGTTGCTGATTAAAAGCCAAACCAAAGATTTAAAATCCCATTTGGAGGTACAGGTGAAACAAGTCGGTAATATATTGGTAATTGCTGAAGCTGCCTTGGGTAACGAGGATTCATTATACAATTCCTTCTACTTCTGTGTATGTTTGAGATTTTTTTTTTGTAATAAAAAAGTTTAAAATCCCATTTGGCAAAAGAGACCAATTGGATTCAAAAGGCCTCTTGAGAGGCTGGAGGTGCTTAGGCCCCCCTTCCAAGCTACTAATCTTCCCTTCACAGGTGGGAACGTAGGAGGAGTCTCTGGACTGCATTTGGCTGAGAGCTAAACTTGAAGAATTTCTCTTTCATAAAATCCTTTCATTTTTGTGTGTGTCTGATTTTGATTTTTACTATGCTTCCATGTAGGCATTTCCTCCCCAACTGTCCCTCTCCAATTCCTTCCCCCCCTCTCTGGGAACACTGGTTGGCCCTGGTTGGCCTCTCTGACTCTTCTTGGTGATTTGCCGTTGGTGAAATGCTAGCCAGCTTCCCCAGTCTCTCTCTCTCTCTCTCCTACTCTGCCTTGGAAGTTGATGTGGGTGACATGCTGCCCATTCTGGGCCCCACTCAGCCCATTCTCAGCCCACACTTGTCCTGCCCTCAGTGGTCTCAGTACGCTCCACTTGTTGACCTTTTCATATTAAAGCCTTCATCTGAAGGCCACGTTTCCTCTGAGGCAGGGCTTCCAGGACACAGGATGGTTGACACTGCTGTTCATGTTAGCATTCCGGGAGCCATGAAGTGACCCATCACCCCACACCTTCCCCACTAGAGACCAGGACTAACAATCTTCATGCCCTTCTTATGTCATGAGGAATATCATTGAAAGCCTACTGGATGTGGTTAGTATAGACGTCACTGTGAACCATAACTTCTGGGATCCGGCTGAGCAAATTGTTTTGAATTTTCCAGAAAGAGAGTGCCTGGAGTCCTCTTCTCTAGTAGAGGCCACATGCAAAGTTCTTGAGCCAGGCTAAAGGAGTTACTTACATAAGCCAGGGGTTGCTTGTCCTGGAGAAGCAGGAACTTGTGGTTCTGTTCTGGCCCGGCATACTCAAGGACAAGAGCAAAGTGCTCAATGTACCTCAGGGAAAGACGGTCCTGTAATGTTATAATCACATCCTGTGGAAGAGAAAAGAAGAGCCTTGAGAGGGAGATACATTCCATTTCTAAGCCACTCTCAGCACCAAACATGGAAGAGGGAGATGGAGCACCAAGAAAGATGGTCCTGGGGAGGGGGCTGAGGCTAGGGAGTGGCCAGAGACACAGGCCTTTATAGTGGCCCATGCATTCTCCAGGATAAGGAGAGTGACCCATGAGTACTTGGGCCCTGGGGAACACCAAAAGGTGCAGGGGGTAGAGGAAGGTGTTTTTGAACTTGGCCCAGCCAGGCATATGACAAAAGAAGGTCATGTCCCTCCCTCCCTCCTTTTCTCCTTCCATTCAACAACACATTTTCTGAGTGCTTACTAAGCAAGTCAATGAATAAGGAAGACACTGTGCTGGTTGTTCCCTCACCTTACATAAGTCAGAATGTTCACTGTAGTTTGTTTATCAACTCTTTACTTAAGAATTAACAAGACCGAGAGCCACAATTATGTGATTAAAAAGAATATTTCTGGATTCATAATCTAAATTGAATGACTCGAGTTACTGGCAGGATGTTCATTTTTGATTGTTGCTGGCTTTCAGAGACGATCAATTTGGCAACTTGAGAAATGTGTCCACGCAGAGAAACTGTCACGTGTCTTGTGTACAGTCATAAATCTGACTCCTTCTTGGCTCTGTCTGCTCTGCTGCCCTACTTTTAATATTAGGATGTCTGGAAACATATCCTTGGGGGCCGTCCAAATGTCAGTTTTGAGACTTCTGCCATCTATTTGCTGGGACTTCAGCACACACAGGGCTTCAGTATGCGTGTTCGTGGAGTCAGCACAGCTCAGCTCCCCAAGGCCAGAAGGAAGCAGGCTTGGGAACGTGAAGCTCCCTTACAGCTGGGGTTGCCAAACAAGCCCCTCAGTGAACAGGAAATGACGCTTAGCTATTCAGATGTTAGGCTGGAAACTGGTGGGTACTTGAGAGTATCTCTTTGTATCATCCAAGCAGTCACAGAGGCGCCAGTGTTGCTGGAGCTCTGGCAGGGACAAATGGGGTTTTCTTTGCAGTTTGGCTGCATTTGGGATTGTGGATGGCCAAGCTGGCAACTGCCAACTGGTATTAGAAGTGTAACAGCTCCCATTCCAGGCTGTTAATTCACCCAGGTACCTCTCAGGGATAAATGGCTTCGCAGCCTGTCCAAGTTCCAATGAATAGCCAGTGTACCTTCCCTGAGGTCAGGGTGAGATCACAAGCCAGGGGACACTGCTGGCCTGGAAGGCTGGGACTACCTGGAAGCAACAACAGCAGTGTCATTGTGAGGTAGGAGAATGCTCGAAGAAGCCTCCAAGGGGGAAAAAAGAGGAGTAATTGTTCAGTGCAGAGGCAGGTCTCCAAAGGGCATACCTACCCATGAATGAACACCAAGAAGGATTCCAACACAGAGACATATCCACATCTGGAGGTGGGGCATCTGGACACCCCTCAGTGGCCTAGTTGTATTTCAATGTCCCTCCCATAGGCGAGATCTTCAATGGGCAAGAGACCATCCCAGGAGACCCTAAGAAGTATATTTCAGTCCTATGCCTCCGGGAACCAACCAGGCCGAAGCCTTCCAAAGAAACTTCCGTTCCATCAACACGGGTTAGGCCCAGTGTTTTGTGACTTGGGTGCTGCCGGCACTTTGGGCAGGACAATTCTTCATCTTTAGGGACTGCCTCACTCCCTGCAAGACACTTAACATCTCTGCCCAGAGACACTCAATGCCAGCAGCACGCCAAATCATGGGATGACCCCACATCCCCTCAGACATTGCCAAAAGCTGTCTGGGAGAGAAGTGCCAATTCTGACCACCTGATAATTCCTCTCAGGGAAGTTTCTTGGCCCTGGGGTTTCTTTGTTTATAGAATTGTCTTGGCCTCAGCATGGGGACCTCGGGACACCTGTGAGCCAAGGTGGGTTTTCTGGGCAGATGCTATTCCATTGGTTGTATGCAAATTCATTCTGGGGATGGCATTCTCTTTCTGGAAGGAGTCCAGAAAAAACAGGAAGTGGTTATTTCTGTCCCAGATAAGAATTGAACCTGGGTGTTAATTGTTTCATTGCCTTTGCTCCTCAGCACTAAGGGAATCGCTACAACTTTTAGACGGCTGGCTGAGGCTGGCTGAGCTCTTAAGAATCACAGCTCAGTAATTGTTTTTCCTATGAAAGGAAGAGCCAACGGGACTGTGGCTGGACGTTTCAAATCTTGGTTTAGTGTTTAAGATCTGGTTCTTATTTAAAAAGCAAAGCATGGCTAAGCTAATCTCCCAAGAGATTGTGTTTGTTGATTTCTGTGTGTAAATGTGTGTAGATGTTATTGTAGCAATATAAATCACTTTCGCTTTATAAATGGTTTAATAATCTTCAAACTTCTTAGCTCCTAAGAGTCTTGAAGGACCTGGTGTAACATGGACACAAAGCAATCCACTAGTAGGTGTGTACACACACATGCACCCGTGCTTCTGCGCATATGTGCGTGCACGCACACACACACACACACACACACACACACACACAGCTGGGCACTCAAATTCTCCCCTCCCCCAACACCCTCATCTGAGGGCTGTGTTTTCTTGCAGACTGGTGCTCCCAGAAGCTGAAGCTCAAAGGCCACCTTGCTCCAGACGCAACTCTGTGCAGACTCAGATAAACCCAGGAACCAGCAGCTCTGTATGCTCCAGAGAGGGCAAATGTTGACCCAAGACAGGACACTCTGTATGTACCTTAACAGTGGTCCGGCCATCAAACGTGAATGATTTGATCTGCCCATTTTCTAAGAAAACCTTCAGGACGTTGGGGATGAGGAGAAGAGCTTCTTTCTTCATCATTTTCTGTGAATAGGCAGGGAAAGGTCAAGGAGAGGGGCTCATTTAGAAGGCAGAGGGAAGCCAGAGGAGGGGTATAAGTAGGAAGAGAAGGGAGAGAAGGAGACGGGGAGCCAAAGATATGGAAGGACGGAGGGACAGAGGAGAGAACAGACCGATGATCACATCACATGCAGATCAGAACCAAATGCTCCAAGAAGACATTGGGCCATATCAAAAGTTCACCCTTCATTTGATGTCAAAGCCCACCCCATTCTACCATGGCTCCAAGTTCCACAGCTTTGAGTGGTGCTTGGTCCATAGAGACCATCACTAAAGACCAGATGGAAGGCCTCCTTAGGAGCCCCCCTCACTGGCCTGCTCTTATATTCTGACACTTCTCTTTCCGCCAGACTCTTCACACACTGAGGTCACTTCAACATCCATGCCTTTGTTCTGCCCTTCCCTGTCCCCCATGATCTCCTATGTCCTTTCTGACCTGGCCCTACCTATTTCTCCAGAGTCATGTCTCACTGGTGCAGGTACCCATCCTGCTCTTTCACCCCTCCTTACCTCTGACAATTCATCGTTCAGGGACTGTGTCACTCCCCGCAGGGTACTTAGTATCTCTGACCATGAGACACTAAATGCCAATAGCATGCCAAATCATCAGGATAACCCAAAACATCCTTAGACATTTCCAAAAGCTCTCTGAGAGTGGGCAGTATTGACCTTGATTGAGAACCTCTGGTAAAGCCGCTTTGTTTTAAATATTTATTTATTTTGGGGGCAGTGCAAGTGGGAGAGGGGCAGAGAGAAGGGGACACAGGATCTGAAGTGGGCTCTGTGCTGACAGACTGACAGCAGTGAACCCAATGTGGGGCTTGAACTCATGAACCATGGATCATGACCTGAACCAAAGTCAGATGCTCAAGCAACTGACCCACCAGGTGCCCCAAAGCCCATTTCTGAACAGCTGATATCTTCTTAGCAAAAGTATTCTTGGCCCGGGTGTTTATTTGTAGAGTGCTAAAAGGTAAATAAATATTTGTGGTGGTTTTTTTTGTTTATTTTTAAAGTTTATTTATTTTGAGATGGAGAGTGTGCGCGAGCAGCAGAAGGGCAGAGAGAGAGGTATAGAGAGAAAGAATCCCAAGCAGGCTCCGAGCTGCCAGCGCAGAGCCTGATGCAGAGCTCGAACCCATGAACTGTGATATCGTGACCTGAGCCTAAGTCAGAAGCTTAACCAACTGAGCCACTCAGGCGCCCCTCAATATTTGTTAAATAAAGACTGTTCTCTCTGCCTTTCTCTTTCCCTCCTTGGCAAACTCCTACTCATCCTTCAAAACCTGGCTTAAATACAAATTCTGTAAAGTCTTGTCCCAACTCTTCAGGTGCTTGGACCTGGTATTCCCACGTGTTCCTACAGCAATGTATACATACTTCTCTCAATGTTCTTAGCATATTTTTGAAGAATGTTGGTCTCTCACAAACAGTGAACTTAGAGCACATCCATGTCCTATTCAATCTTTGTAATTCTGACATTGAGCAGAGTTCCTGGCATACAGTTGGTGCTCAATGAATGGCTGCTGAATATATGAGTAACAGGTGCTTAATATGTGCTTACTTGAATGATTAGAATCATCAGGAGAACCCAACCATTTCCCGGGGCCATCACCAGTTCTATAGGAACTGAAAAGCTGCATAAGATGGCTAGATTCCTTAATTCAGTGGGCATTCATTGAGCCTCTAGTATATGCCCAGCACTATGCTAAGCCCCATGAGGCCCAGACAGAAATAGAGGGCTGGGTCTGGTCTTACACTCTTGTGAACACCCACACGAATCCACTAGAGAACAATTGTAAAACCGAAAACAAACCAACAGGTATAAGATAGTTAAGGTTTCCTAGGTGAGGTGACTTAGATTTTGATTTCAAAGGAGATGGTAGGTGTAGACTATTAAGAGAGGCTAGCAGAGGGACAGTCCAGACCTAGGGACCGTCATGGACAGCATGGAAAAATGAGCAAGCAAGCCCTCCTGGGTCAGGGTATGATTGGTGGTGGTGGGGAGCCAGGAGTCAAATCGTGGTAGGAAGTGATGGGGTATAAAGTTGGGAAAGTGTGACTCCCTGGTTCTCTCACTGATCCTGAGATGCCTTGCTCCTACCAAGCCCTGAGGCCCTGGATCCCCAGGCTGATGACAGTTGGCAGTGGCAGGTTTTATTTAGCACACTGGGGTTGGACTCAGATAATTACTTAATTGATTTTGCTTAAAAATAGAGTTGGCAAGGAACGCCCACGGGATTTATTTTTGCTCTGGCTGCTTACTAAAGCCCTGGAACACCAAGGCAAAGGGATGATAGGACAGCCCAGAGTCACCTGGGCCTGGAGTTCCCTAGGTCCCAACCAATGGTGAGGCTGCTAGGGTCCATACTGGTGGCGTGGGAGGTAGGGGTTGTTGTGACATCAGGTAATTTCCTGAGTACAGCAGAGTGGGAAGATTGATGTCTCTCTCTCTCTCTCTCTCTCTCTCTCTCTGACAAGAGCCCCAAACTGTGCCTGGTGGTCGGTCCAGGAGCGACAGAAGTAACCCTGGGCGGGTCCTAGCTACTCCAGGGCCTTTGCTTTCAGGTTGGTCTGGAGTGGGGGCTTGATCCTACCTGTGGATAGCTGAGACTTATGGAGAGGGGGGTCATAGTGGAGCAAGGGGAGAGTGGGGAGGGGAGAGTGGAAGGGAGAGGAAGAGATGGGAGGAAAAAGGGGGAGGTGGTAGGGAGGTTTTCATTGGGTAGCCAGGTCTTGATTGATTACTCTGTAATGCTGAGATGGGATAGTCTGTGCTTTCTAAATCCAATTTGCATTGGCTCTGGGTTTTCAAGGGTTCAGGGCACAAATGTCTCCTTTGTGGCTCGGACCTAAGGGTGTTATTCATTGTGATCTGTAGGGACTCGATACTGTTGCCTCGTCTCTCTGCTCACCACCCCCCACTTCTCTTTAACCTCTTCTGCTAGGACTGATATGGAGCCCAGCCTCCAATTACTTGACGGCTTACCCAGTGGGACTCTGTAGGCTCCCAGGCTTTTCAGCCTTCCTCGAACAGGGATGGAAGAGGGCCTAGGCTGAGTCTGGGGATGAGTGTTGGGGAAAAGGACATGGAAGACACCTGTGTCCTCTATCCCATCTTCTGAGTGGCACTGCTTCAAAGAACTACAGAAGTGCCTGGTGCCCCACTGATTTCCCCACTCAGGCTGGGCCTGCTGGCTTTTCTCAAGTGTAGCTGTGCCTCCGTACATAAATGCCACAGGCCCCCTGAGAGCCCTGCCTGCAAAAGCTTGCAAAAGCACACAAATGCCTGTTAGCTCTGGCTCTCTCCACCCGCACCTGGATATCACCGATTTCTGCAGACTCCTGGGTGGCTCTGGCCATAATCCATGACTGCTTAACACATATCTCTCTGCTCTCCATCCACCTCTTCTCATTTGCTTATCTGGAGCAGACAGCTCAGCTCATGTAAACCCCATACAGCAGTGAGAAAGACTGCAGGCTGGCCAAGACTCTCCCAGTTGGGCAGCTACATAGCATGGGCTGTCAAGCATCACCTGTTCCTTGAAACCATACCACCCAATGGGGGATTCTATGTATCTCAATCTGAACTACTTGTCCCCCGCCCTGCCCCAACATCACCCAGTGGTATCCAGTGGCAGGGAACAGGTGTTCATTTTCCATGCCATGTGGTACTGGGAACACAGAAGGTGCCTAATAAAAGTTTTGTGATGGGGGGCACATGGGTGGCTCAGTCAGCTGAGCATCCGACTTCAGCTCAGGGCATGATCTTGTGTCGGCCAGCTGCTGTCAGCGCAGAGCCCGCATCAGATCTCTGTCCCCCCCACTCTGCCCTTCCCTGCTTGCATGCTTTCTCTCTCAAACATAAATAAATCTTAAAAAAAAAAAAAAAAGCTTCGTGACAATGAGAGTCTGTATCATTTCCCATAGGCTGCTTCACTAGTCAAGACGTGCCGTGGCAGGATTACTTTAATGCGAAGACAGCTCAATTACATCAGCCACTCTTGCTCCAGATCTTCAGAAAACCACCACCTCTTTCCTGCTTCTATAAAATAGCCCGAAGATGTTTGTGGAGCACTTGTTCTGAGTGGATGCTATCGTGCCAGGGACAGCAATTTCTCTAAGCACCATGAGGGGCCTGAGTGAAGTGATACAGGTTCCTTCGCCCCACAGTGCCCAGGGCTCTTCTGGATGCCGCGTTCTCCTATCTTACAACCAGCCTGGAGCCCTGTGGTCCTCCCTCTCCCCTTCAGCCCTTTTGTAATGCTGCCCACTCTCAAGCACCTGCTCCAAAGCCAGACCTCCGTGGTCAGGCTGATTCTAGCCAAGGGCCAAGGACAGGGAGCTGAAAAGCTGCACTTACTGCATCTGTTTCTCCAACTGCCACCTGCTCAGAAAATCGGACCTTCACAGGATTCGATCTCAGCCTGGCCTTCTTCGCAGCGCTGATGAAGGCAGATTTGGGGGACTGGAAAAAGAACAGAGGGCTGATGAGTTCTCTATCCCTGGGAAAAACCTGACCTTTGCCACACTGGAGTTAAGATGTCTCAGTACGGGCATGCTTTGCCTTACTGATCAATAAGTCAATAAATACGTATTGATTCCCTACTAGGTGCAAGGCGATGTGCTAAGTGCTTCCTTCTATGATTGGTGTGTTCTGAAAAAGCTGGGCATGAATTGAATTTGGGTAGACTGAATCCCATTATTAACACTCTGGGCCTAGTGGAGTTTGCCAAAATCCTTTAGCAATAACATCCACTGAATTATTATATGTTTGGTTTGCTTAACGTGAGATATACCTAAATGGTGGTTTTTATTACATCTGAATACAAGCATCTTGAAGGATTTACAGAAATGACCTTATTCATCTCCCAGATATGCCCTGCCCCTAGGAAGGAGATTATAGAAAATGATTCAAGGAAATGCAAGAGTCTAGATGAGGGGAACCCTCATGTCTTCGGGAGCCTTTAATCATTCATGTGACAAGTTCAGGGAGGACCGACTATGTGCCAGGCACTGTTCCAGGTGATGAGGGGTTCAGCAGTGAACAACACAAAGCTCCCTGGCCTCAAAGGCCATATAAGTAGGAACAGACTGACAATAAACAAATAAATATCTTTTAGGTAGCAAATAAGGACTGTGAGGAAAAATCAAGCAGGGTGAGGGACTATACAAGAGACTGTATGAGTGATGGTAGGAGTGATGGGGGTGTTATTTTAGTCAGGATGTGCAGGGAAGACCTCACACAGGAGGTGATGTTGAAGCAGAGACCCGAAGCAAGTGAGGGAGAGCCAGCCATGAGAATATGTGGAGAAAAAGAGCCAGCCATAAGGATATGTGGAGAAAAAGCCTCCTGGGCAGAAAGAATATTACAGGCTCAGAGGTGGGATTGGGGTGCATGAGGAACAGCAAGGGAGCCCAGTGTGGCCGGAGCAGAATGATCGGGGTGGAGGTGGAGGGGTATGCTCAGAGAGGCAGTTGAGCATTGGGTCAATGTAGGGCCTGGTCAGCCATGGCGAGAACTTTGGATTTCACTCCACTGGAGGGTTACGCCCAAAGTAGTGAGACTAGTTCAGAGTGTCCTGTAATAATACAGCTAAAATGGGATGGAGGCTAGGGCTAGGGTAGTAATAATGGAGCTTATGAAAAGTGAGTCAATTTTGGATAGATTCTGAAGATAGAACCAAGATGATATGTTGACGGATTGGATGTGGGAGGTGAGAAAAAAGAGAAGAATCAACTAGAAGAATGGAGTTGCCACTTACTAAGATGAGGAAGACCACGGTGGAAATCAGGTTTGGGGCTCCTTCAAACCACCTCCCCTACCAGCTCGGTCATGGAGCCTGTGCATCCCACAATCAAGAATCCCTTTGAATTAAGGCCCTGAAGGGCCCTGCCAGCTGGTAAGGCAATACATGAAGCTATTTTCTGCCATTTACACTGCATTTGAATTTCATTTACCAGAGCAGCCACAGGAGGGCCAGACCCTAAGATAAAGACACACCAGAAACAAATGTCCTCATCAGGTCTTGGGCCCTGGTCTCAGCTGTGTTCTCGTCCGGAGCCAGCAATCTCATCCCCCACAGAGGGCAGTTTGCAGAAAGCCACCTGTTCAACCCAACAGTGGGTCTTGGTCCTGGCTGTGTGGCAGAAATAGTGGAATGGCTTTAAAAACCTCTAATGCCCGGGCCCCACCCTAGACCAATGACATCAAATTCCTGGGGATGAGGTCCAGGTATTGGTAACTTTTTTTTTTAATTTCCAATGATTTCAAAATGCAGCTAAGGTTGCACGAACCACTGAGCTAAAGGAACCTTAGGCTTCCCGTCCTGAGGCACAGAGATAGTTTGTTGGCAGCAGATGATATAGCACAACAAAATCCAGGGCTGGAGATCGTTGCAGAGGGTGATTACAGTATTGATTGTTCATGGGAGTCAAGAAATGCCTTTGTGTGTTGCATAGCTTAGTGCTTAAATCCTGGGCAGGGGCTGCAGGCTGCAGCAGGAGCAAAAGAGAAGGGGCAAGAAAGAAAGATCTGTGGCTATGTTCAGGGAGACTCCACAGCAGTCCAAATTTCCACCTGAGGTGCCACAGACGGGAGGCAGGTGAAATCTTTGTTTCTACCCGACAGTCACGTCCTCCTTTCTCTATAATCATCTGTGATGGCATGCCTTTGTGCAGTGTGGAACGAGGCATCTCCAGAGGCCTGAATGGGCCATGTGATCCACCCTTCATTTTCACACGTGAAGTGGAGTCCTGGGAAGAGGATATGGTTTACTGCAAGTACCAAAATAATTTGGTAGTAGAGCTGAAACTAGAACCCAGATTTCCTGAGTCTTGGGTTGGCGATTATTCCCCACAGCCAGCTGAAGCTGGGTATCCTTTCCTTTTTTTTAATGAATATAATTTATTGTCAAATTGGCTTACATACAACACCCAGCCCAACAAGTGCCTTCCTCAATGCCATTCACCCATTTTCCCCTCTCCTCCACCCCCACCATTTTTTCCCCTTCCCTTCCCCCATGGTCTTCTGTTATGTTTGTCAAGATCCACATATGAGTGAAAACATATGATAGCTGTCCTTCTCTGACTTATTTCACTCAGCATACCTTCCAGTTCCATCCACATTGCTGCAAATGGCATGATTTCATTCTTTCTCGTTGCCAAGTAGTATTCCACTGTATATATAAACCACAATTTCTTTAACCATTCATCAGCTGATGGACATTTAGGCTCTTTCCATAATTTGGCTATTGTTGAAAGTGCTGCTCTAAACATTGGGGTACACGTGCTCCTATGCATCAGCACTCCTGTATCCCTGGGGTAAACTCCTAGTAGTGCTATTGCTGGGTCATAGGGTAGTTCTATTTTTAGTTTTTTGAGAAACCTCCACACTGTTTTCCAGAGTGACTGCAGGATCTTTCATCCAGTGGCTCTGGTTTGACCTTTGAGCATATGAAGAACCGCAACTGGTACCCTTCTGTGTCTTCACCTATGGTGAGGGAATGACTCCTTGAGGTCCTTACCAAAAGTCCCAGATTGGATCCTGTCCTACAGATACCACTATAAACAAAAGACTTATATATTTATAGGAGCAAAATCATGAAAGAGGAAGTGGAATGGCCCATTATTTTCAGGGATTATAATCATTTCCGGTGTCCGTGGTAGAGCTATTTTCAGCTTGTTCGTGCCTCATTCCTTATTGACCCTTGTCCTGTCAGTCTCTAAGAATCCATCCTATTCTCAGTCTTCAGCCTTGATCACTGATGGTGACTCACTCATTGCCAGCTGGGCTCTGCTACACGTCACGGAGTCATAGCTAGCCTTATGCTTCAACACAGGTGATGTCTGCCTTGCAGTGTGATACACCTTGCAGGTGCTCTCAAAGGTCTCCCTGCTTCAAAGCATCTTCGAAGCTCAGCTATGGGGACTGAAGCTCTTAATGCTAGGGTCACTCCTTTGAATTTAAATATTAAGAGTTAGGGGGGTGCCTAGGTGGCTCAGTTGGTTGGGCGTCCAACTCTTGATTTCGGCCCAGGTCATGATCTCATGGTTTGTGAGTATGAGCCCCACATTGGGCTCTGTGCTGACAGTGTGGAGCCTGCTTGGGATTCTCTCTCCCTCTCTGTCCCTCCCTTGCTGGCTCTCTCCCTCTCTCTCAAAATAAATAAATAAAAACTTAAGAAAATATTGAGAATTGGGAAGGCCCTGATCAAAATGCCAATGTGGTACCAGGGAGGAGTAATGAACATAATTCAGGGGTCAGCAGACTACAGCCTGCATGGGCCAAATCCTGCCCACCACCTGTTTTTGTAAATAAAACTTTATTGGAATACAGCTGTGATCTTCACTTATGTATTACTGTCTGTGGTTGCTTTTGCAACTATCATGTATGGTCTACAAAGTTACAATATTTACTATACAGCCCTTTACAGAAAGTTTGCTGACTCCTGCGCTAACTCATTAGCATGCACTCACCCACTGTTTCTAAAACTTTCCTGATGATAAGAATCACTGGGGAGTGCTTGCTAAACCACAGATTTCTAGGCCCACACCAGACTTAAAAAGTCGGAATCTCTAGGAACATAAGGCACAGAATTTATATTGTTGAAAATGTCCTAACCCATTAAGCATAGATTAATTGAGTACCTTAAAGCTGGGACATCTGAGCTCTTCACTGATCCCATTTTTCCTTCAAGCAGTTGGGAGTCTCATTTTGCAACAGGCACCCTTGCTGTTTAAAATGAATTTTGGCTTGAAACATGGGACTGGAATTACTAAGCACCTCCGGGGCCACTGTGAAGCCCCTCGAAGCAAATATGGAGCCAGCAGCTCGGTGGAATAAGCAATAGAGGAGAGAGTCTGCCTCTCCCCCAGGACTTCATTCAGCAGCTGGTGACACTTTGACTATGTTTTAATTTGGTGGCTCTATTAATACAGATTTCAGGGTTGTGTTCAAAGTCAGGTATATGGCCCAACATCTTGGTGTACGATAGGGCCCTACTTTGATTTTGAGAGGTTCCCGAAGGTCTGACAGCCTCCCGATTCTCCTTTCTGCTGGCTCATTGGCTCCTTTCACCTGAGCCTACTTAGAAGCACTTCCCATAGCACTGTGGGAGTCTGGGACAATGGAGGGCCATACTGGTTTCACTTGACTACTGATAAGGGACCCAGGGTCTTCCTTCCTGCACTTGGTGCCTGGAGGTGAACATGGCCTTTCTCCGGCTTCCAAAGCCCCCTGCAAGCCACACATGACCCTTATTCCCCATTGATGGCCTCGTCAGGTGGTTCTGCCCCCAGTTCCCTGGGCACATTGTGCTGTTTCCCACTTTTGCCTGCCCTTTAGCATCCCCCCTGCTTAGCTAAATGCCATCTCTAAAGCCCAGCTCAAATTCTGCCTTGGTCTTGAATTCTTCCCCGATTCCTCCAGTCCCCTCCCTGGATTTCCTATAGTACTCTTTGGTAATC